CAGTTATGTCCTTTAGGCCCCAAATTGCTTGATCAGTATTGCCGCAGCCAAGCCACTCTTGGTGGTGGGCATTAATCCACCCCCCACCCCACCCATAGTACATTTTCCACCCTTCCTCCTACAGTGTTTCCTCCAAGTATTGCTCAACATGGAGGAGTACGGATTCATCAGCGGAGGGAGATGTAGTAACCAGGAGGTTTCCTTGCCCATGTTTAACCTGAAGCCATAACACTTCATGGGGTCCAGAGCCAATGTCGAGGACTCCCGGGGCAACTCCCTCCCAACTGTAATTAACTGCACCGCCACTGCTGCTTGATCTGTCCTGCTGACGGGACAGGACATGTCCAGAGATGGTGGTGGGGGTGTCTACAAGGTGTGATTCTGACAGTAATGACTGCGTCAGGCTGTTGCTTGACTAGTCTCTGTGAGACAGGTCTCCCAATTTTGGCACTAGTTCCCAGATGTTAGTGAGGAGGACTTTGCAGCATTGCCAGGGCTGCTTCTGCCACTGTCTTTTCCGGTGCCTACATGGATGCCAGGTGGTCTGTCCAGTTTAATTTGATACTTCATAGCGATTGATACAACTGAGTGGCATGCTAGACCATTTCAGAAGGCAAATAAGAGTCAACCACATTGCTGTGATTCTGGAGTCACATTTAGGCCAGTCCAGGTGAGGATAACAGATTTCCTTCCCCGAGCGACATTAGTGAACCAGATAGGTTTTTTTTCCTGACAACTGACAATGGTTTCATGGTCATCGATAGATTCTCACCTCCAGACATTTTCAATCGAATTTAAAATTTCATCATCTCCCGTGGCGGGATTCAATTGCTGGTCCCAGAACACTTGCTGAACTTCTAATGGTAATACCATACGCCATCACCTTGCTGAATCAGTCTGATAAATCTTTGCTGCATCAGTCTGATAAATCTTTGCTGCACACTCTATATAGGAAAAGACCAAAACTGCACACAATATTCCAGGTGTGGGCTCACGCATCCTTGTTCCTGTACTTGAATATTCTCATTATAAAGGTCAATATCATTTGCCTTCTTCACCTTCTGCTGCACCTGCACACTTACTGTCAGTTACTGGTATACAAGGACAGTCTCCTTGCATATCTTCCTTTCTCAATTTATAGGCATTGCCTGCAATTCAGAAAAAGACACGTTTATTCTGACTCTATTTCCTATCTGCCAACAGTTTTCTGTCCATCCCAATTCTGTGCTACAACGTTACACACATTTCTTATGTGGGACTTAATTGAAAGCCTTCTCACAGTCCAATAAACCACATTCACTGGATCCCCCTCATCAACTCATGAAGATTTTCATTAGATTTGTCAAGCATGAATACCCTTTCTGAAATCCATGCTGTCTCTGTCCAATCTGCCCATATTTTCCAAGGGCATAACTATTAGACCTTTTATAATAGACTCTAGCATTTCTCCAAGACTGATGTCAGGTCTATAATTCCCGGTTTTCCTTCTACCTCCCTTTTCAAATCGAGGGGTTACATTAGCTATTCTCCAGTCTGTAGGAGCTGTTCCAGAGTCCATAGAATCTTGGAAGATAATCATTAATGCATCGACTATTCCTAGGGCCTCTTCCTGATGTACGCTGGAATGTATATTATTAGGGTCTGGGGATTTAATCAGTCTTAAATCTCATGAATTTCCCCAACACCATTTTCTTGCTAATACTGATACATTTTCAGCTATCATATCACTGAACGGCACAATTCAAGGTATTGAATTCCTGTTCCTAGATTCCTTTTCAAAAAGTGAACCTTGACCAAAAAATATTTGTGACCTAGTGACAGGCATGCAAAATAAATCTGCCTCAAACCTATGGAGACAAAAAAATAAATCTTGGAAAATGCCAGTCTTGCAGGTGCATCCAGTAGTGGTACCTGAGTTTTTAGTTTTCAGCTTTCCAGCTGGAATGTTATATGGAGCATAACATGACAAAAGAATACTCCAGCTTTTGGAAGGGTAAAACATAAATCATTAATAACAGCTGCATCAACCAAAAGACAACTATGAAGGTGTGCAGGGACACTGTCCAGGAAAAAAAAGACAGTAAATTTACAAGTATATAATTTTAAAATGTTAAGACATGACACATTCTGCAAAATGCCTTCATTGGGCAAAACAATAAACATCTGGTGATACAGAACTTAAACATTGCTAAAAGGAGATTGAAAATAGAAGCTTTTTGCCTTGTCAGAAGGAGGACACTAGGAACAGACATGAAAAAGAGACAACAACAACAAAAACAAAGTTGCTGGAAAAGCTCAGCAGGTCTGGCAGCATCCGTGGAGGAGAAAGCAGAGTTAACGTTTCAGGTCCGGTGACCCTTCCTCATGAAAAAGAGACACCCTATTGCACAGAATGAGGATGCTGCTGACTGGGTGAGCCACAATTGGCATGAAGGTGCAGCAACTGGCCCGACTAATCAGCACCCTCTTCTCATTCTATACAAAATGGTGTCTGTTTCTTTCATATTTATTTCTTATGTTCTAATTCTCTCACACTCTCCTAAGAAATTCTTAAAGCCTAGCTCTTGACCAAGCATTTGATCATTTGCCCTAATATCTCACTTTGTGCTGCAGAGTCAGATTTTATTTGATGACGCTTGTGAGGGACTTTGGAACATTTTAAGGTGGTAAAGACACCATATAAATGTATGTTGTTAGGCACAATGCAGTATAATGGCATATATATTCATTTACTATAAATTCCAGTACTTAGATTAGCTAATACCTTATTTATAATGAATGCATTTTGGAACAATTGGAAGAAAGTATAATTAATGTAAATATGCTGTAAGTGAACTACAGATGTAACTAATGCCTGATGGGCCACTACAGTCATGTGGCAAAGGTGTAATCTTGATATGGTCTAAAATCTAATCTTACGCTCCTTTTAAATAGTGTATATGGTTCTCCTAATAGGATCCGCTGGTGTGCTAAACAGGTCATCCTTTTTGCCAGAATGTCTTATTGTTGCATGTTCAAGGCATCTGGAATAGAGAAGCCAAGTGTCTTAAACTCAATCTCTTCATGACTCTCCCACAATTAAGTACATCTATAGTCTATCCCGAGCTTTTAAATAATGTGAAAACATTTGTCAATTGACAGTAAGCTGACACCAAGACCACAGATTGACAGCTTGCTGTACCAACAAAATAAGCTCATCCTTGTATAATGTCAGTGAACAAAGTTTGGCGCACGCCAATCCCAACATTTCAGCGCCGGCCTGAAAAATTATACTTCAATGTCTAAGATATGAAGTCTGTTGAGTCATCTGCAAATTACCAACCATTCGCGTTTCTTGCAAGATGTTCAAAAGGACAACTCCCAGTTGACTTTGAACATTACAAACTACCAACTAACTAGAATAAGTCATCTGATATAACTCAATGTGTGAATGCATTATGTAATAAACTCGTGTTTTATTGTTCAATCGGCAACATTGTATGCTTGTGTTTCAGTAAAAGACCACCTTGTTAAATTTTTAAAAATTTGATCTGTCAAGTCAGGTTTCAGACCGGGATCTGATTTGTCCAGTATTAACATTAGCTGAGATCACAAATCAAATTTAAGTACCCAAAAAAAGTATTTTCCATAGCCAATTTTCTCTAGACCTCAGAGAACTGGTTAATGGAAAGCCAAATTCATGACAAAATTTCCAATGGAGAAATGACAACATAATCCGAATCCAACATAATTTTAAACTACTGACAGCTAAACTCATTTCCTGCTGTGCTAATTTACCAGAGGGATAAAATCACATTACAACTCACATCCTCTTGGAATTCAGCTAATCAGTTATTACAACTCTTCATGTATCGATTGAAATAATCATTTAATGTGAAAATGAATAGCTGATTCAACAAAGCAGTTGAAATCCACCATTCATAATGCATCAGATGTACACAGATCTTGTGTCTTGCATTAAAAGGTTCAACATTAATTCACAGAATTTCCCACTCAGTATAGTCCTAATTCGAACAAGGTTATCATTTAGTGAATGCTCAGCACTATTTTTATGTGGTTCTTATATCACCAGTGCTATATCATTTGAAATTGCAGGAAACAGAGCACTGAGAGGATACACAAACAAATAAAAACCGATAAACTCGCCAAGACAGACTTTAGGGAAGCAGTTCTCAATTTTGTTTCGAGTGACTCCAATTTAATAGTGAAAAGTTGGGGTGGGGGGGGTGGTTTGCGTGTAGGTATATTAATTGATTTTTTTAATGTAGTTGGGCTATTACTTATATAATAGCATCCTTATTACTAAACTTGTGATCAATTATTGACACAATTGGCAAGTGCCACTAATACAATACAATTCCAATTATTGATGCAGCAATGTACTAATTGTTAAAGCAATGAGCAGCTGATTTATAATGCAAAGGAATGACTCAATTAATGTTATCAGATCCTGATTAATAATGTGAAATATGCTGAACATTTATGCAATAAGAACCTTTTAAATACCATTTTTTGAAATTAACTCATGATATCAGCTGGGCCAGAATTTATGCCCAGCTCCTGTTCACCCTTAAGAAAGTGGTGTTGAGCTACTTTCTTGATGGTCCAGTTCATATTGTGGTCAATAGCAATGCTCAGATTGGTGATAGTGAGAGATTTAGAAATGGTAATGCCATTGAATGTCAAGGGGTGATGGTTAGATTATCTCTTATTGGAGGTGGTTATCACCTGGCATTTGTGCGGATGCTACTTGCCATTTGTCAGCCAAAGCCTGGATATTGGCCAGCTTCTGCTCTATTTGGACATGGAGTGCTTCATACCTGAAGAGTCATGAATAGTGCAGAACATTGACCTCCAACAACCACAACCATCTTCCTTTATACCAGGAATGACTCCAACCAGTAGTTTTCCCCGATTCCCAATAACTCCAGTTTTGCTGGTACTCCTTGATGGCACACTTGGTCAAATGTAGCTTTGATGTCAAGGGCAGTCACTCTCACCTCCCCTCTTTTTCTTCCCAGGCAATGTCTTGGGATTGAGGATTGATTTCTCCCACTCCAATGTTGTGGAACCTGACGGGAATAAATAGTCCAATGCTGGATTAACTAAACCTATCATAAGTGTAGCAAGTGGTCGTTGGTGAGGTAGATAGGTGGTATACTCAGCTTTGCAATAACCCATTACTGTTTTGTGTTTGTTCTCCATTTGAATCTATCAAGTTGGATTCTTTGCAGATGCTTTATTGTCAAATCAGGCAATCTTGGACTTTAGGTTCCTATGAGTCGATACAAGTACAATATACAAATACTGCATTTATCAGGCAGGAATTGCAGACATCCTTGAAGCATTTCCTTTGCCCCAGCACCAGATGCTTTGATACTGTGGATGTAGGTCTACTACAGGATGCTGATATCAGATCACCTGTACCTGTGAGTGGATATGCAGATTTTGTGGAGGGACTGCTCGTTTTATTTCTCAAAGCTGCACATTGTCCATGTCAGAGGCATACGGGGGGCTGATAAATACTAAATAAAAACCAAAAGAACCGCGAATGATGTAAATCAGGAACAAAAACAGAACTTGCAGGAAAAGCTCAGCAGGTCTGGCAGCATCTGTGGAGAAAAAAAAAATCAGACAGTTAACTTTTCGGGTCCGGTAACCCTTCCTCAGAACTGATGGTAGCTGGAAAAATGTTGGTTTATATGCAGAAGATAGAAAGGGGGATGGAGTAGGGAGAAAACGATAGGTTAGAGCCCGAAGAGCAGGTGGGTAGACAAAGGAGTTGATAGCGATCTGGCTAGGAGGGTGAATAGTTGTTAATGGGGACTGTCAGTGACTAACAATACGTAATGTGTGGTGGCAAGCTATGTGGTAACAAGGCCTGGCCTGGTCTAGGACATGGGAGAGTTTAGGCCCTAAGATTATTGAACTCGATATTGAGTCTGAAAGGCTGCAGGGTCTGCAAGCAAAAAGCGAGGGGTTGTTCTTCCAGCTTACGTTGAGCTTTGCTGGAACACTGCAGCAAACCAGAGACAGAGATGTCGACTAGAGAACAGGGTGGTGTGTTAAAGTGGCAGGCAACAGGTAACTCCGGGTCTTTTTTGCGAGCAGAACGTACATGTTCTGCGAAGTGGTCACCCAGTCTATGCTTCGTTTCCCCAGTGTAGAGACGACAACATTGTGAGCAGCAAATGCAGTTGACTAGATCCTGGGAAGTGCAGGTGAAGTGTTGATTCACCTGGAAGGTATATTTGGGCCCTTGGACAGTGGGAAGGGAGGTAAATGGGCAGGTGTTGCACATTTGCCAGTTGCAGGGGAAGGTGCCATGGGGCTGTGGGGTGTTGTTGGGGGTGAAGGAAGCGTGGACCAGGGTGTCCTGGAGGGAACGGTCCCTGTGGAAGGTGGACAAGAGAGGGGAGGGGCATGTGTCTGGAGATGGCATCTCACTGGAGGTGAGGGAAATGGCATCTAATGATCTTCTGGATGTGGATGCTGGTGGGATGGCAGATAAAGGACAAGGGGAACCCTATTGCTGTTGCGGGAGGGAAGAGAAGGTGTGAGGGCGGAAGTGCGTAGATGGGACGGACCCAGTTGAGGGCCCTGTTGACAATGGAACTGGAAATCCTCGGTTGAGGAAGAAGGTGGACATTGTGGAGGCTCCCTTGTTGAAGCTGGCCTCACCTGGGATGGAGGAACTGAGAGAATGGAATGGAGTCTTTACAGAAAGCAGGATGTATAGTCCAGGTAACTGTGGAAGTCAGTGGGTTTATAGTGGATCTTAGTGGCCAGTCTATCCCCAGAGATGGAAACAGAGATGTCAAGGAAGGAAAGGGAGGAGTCAGAGACGGAGATGGACTAGGTGAAAGAGAAGGCAGGGGGGAAATTGGAAGCAAAATCAATGAATTTTTCCAATTCTGGACAAGAGCTGGAAGGAGCACCGATGAGATCATCAATATATCAGATAGACAGTTGTGGGTGGGGGCCGGAATAGGGCTGGAACAAGGAATATTCCACGTACCCCACAAATAGACAGCTGTAACTGGGACCTGTGCGGGTACTCATGGCCACACCTCTGACCTGAAGAGAATGAGAGGAGTTAAAAGAGAAGTTGTTGAGGGTGAGGACAAGCTTGGCTAAGCAGAGGAGGGTGGTGGCAGGTGGGGATGGTTCAGGTCTTTGCTCCTGGAAGAAGCAGAAAGCCCTAAGGCCCTTCAGGTGGGGAATGGACATGTAAAGGGATTGCATGTCCATGGTAAAGAGGCAGCGGCTGGAACTTGCATATTGGAAGTTTTGAAACTGGCGTAAAGAGTCAGAGGAATACTACTGCCCTGTAACACTTTCTCAGACGGCGAAAGGCTGCACCAGCAGACTGGAATAAAGTCAATTTTCTTCATTTATGTCCTCACTGTGAAGGAGGCTCCCATGATGTAGGAACTAATCCACATCATCCAGTGGCTTACCGTGGACCTCAATACTAGAGCTTGATGATAGAGGTTGGGGTGGACTTGGTTCTGAACTGGGGACAATGCATGTTCCCTGCTTATCCTGGAGTCAGTAGCTCCACACTAGAGGGAAGATTCAGAGATACGGGAGTGGAGTGTTGCAACAAGGAAGATGAAAATGAACACTGGTGTGATGAGACAGTCTTGTTTGACCCCAGCTTGCACACACAATGGCTCTTTGTTGAATCCACTGATGAGGATCACAGCTGGCAAGTCATAATGAAGCAGGTGGAGGGTGGTAATGAATTTCTCCTGGCAACTAAATTTGGGAAGGATGCTCCATGGTTTATCCCGATAGAATAAAATGCCTCTGAAAGTTCAATGCATCTTTCTGCCACTTTCTGCACTTTTCCTGTATTTATTATCCGTGAAGATTATGTCTGTTGATGGATGGAATCCGCTTTTGACTTGGAGAAACTCTTCAGCCAGTTCGAAGAGGCCGCTGAGGAAGAGTTTTGCAATGACTTTACCTCTGGCAGACAGCATGGACACCCCTCTGCAGTTGACATAATTAGTCTCATCCTCTTTTTTTGAAGATATTCGCTATTACGGAGTCTCAACCATCAGTGGCATGCTCTCCTCCTTCCAGATGAGGGAGATGAGTTCACATAAATGAGCCAAGAGTGACTTGCCATCATAACTTAGTATTTTGGCAGGGAACCCTCCTGTGCCAGCAGCCTTGTTGGTTGTCAGTTATTGAATGGCCCTTTCAATCTGAGGTCAGGCTGGAGTTTTACAGTACTCCTCGTGTAACTGTATCCTGATTATTAAGGTAGTAGCATTGTGAATCTTAATGTTAATGGGACTCAGATATGAAGGCAATGGGAACTATATTATCAGTGTAATAGGACTCAGCATTGATGTAAAAGGATCTTTATCATTGATGCAACAGGATTAAAATTATAAATGCATTTTGATCCTGATTATCAACAAAGAGGAATTATCTTGTGTCAAAGAAATACACCTGCCACAAAAAATACTCCACATTTTTTGCAGCAATATTGGAGTCTCAGGGAGCAGACCATTAGGCTGTGCTCACCAACAAACAAGTGAGAATTTAAGGGTCTCTCTGTTGCCAGAAATCAGCTGGAGCTCCATAGCAACCATTGTTGGCCGAGAGCTTGTGACCACAAAATTTCACCTTGCAACTCTACTGGAGTTGTGACCCATGGTTTGTGAAACTGTGGTTTAAGGGGATCTTCAATAAATATTAGTTAAAAGAGGGCAATGATTACACCAGGTACTGAAACACGATTTTTCATCTGTGTAAAGATCACAGGAGCCATCTAGTGGAATAAACAAGTACTTATTTCTACATTAGCTGCAGTCAGCAGCCACAGTTACCTTCCAATTATAATAGTATTGTTGAAGCCAACGGCATTACAGTATAAATATGGAAACAGAGCCTTACTCAATTTGTAGCAAAGAGAGATTCCTACTTTCAAGAAATACTGTTCTGAAGCAGGTTATTTTCTGAATCGAGATTTCTATTACAATTTTAGCATCACTTTGCATTGATACTGCAACTCTTACATAAACAGCAAGGTGCAGGGCTGGATGAACACAGCAGGCCAAGCAGCATCATAGGAGCAGAAAGGCTGATGTTTCGGGCCTAGACCCTTCATCAGAAATGGGGGAGGGGAAGGGGGTTCTGAAATAAATAGGGAGAG